TAAAAAAAAATGTTTTTAAAAGAAGTCTTTTAGGCTCACCAAAGCTGCATTTATTTGATCAAAAATACAGTAAAAACTAAAATATTAAAATAAGTGTTTACTATTTTATATATTTAAAATATATAATTTATTTATGTGATGGCAAAGCAGCCATTACTTTAGTGTCACATGATCCTTCAGAAATCATTCTAATGTTCTGATTTGCTACTCAAGAAACATTATTACGAATGTTGAAAACAGTTGTGCTGCTTAATATTTTTTGTGGAATACTTTTTTTTTTTCAGGATTCTTGAAAAAGAAAATTCAAAAGAACAGAATTTATTTCACTACAAATAAATAAATACAAATTTTTAAAAAAGTGTTTTTGTCTTGTTTTCCCGTACAAATATCTAAAAATGTATGGTTATGCTTAATCCAAGAAAAAATATCTGCCAGTGGGGTAAGAAAAAGACACGATTCAAATGGAAAACATGCCATTGGCAGATATTTTTTCTCATTTTGATACATTATTGAGAAAACAAGACTTAATATCTCATCATTTTGTTTCTCAAGTAAATGTCATTTAAGACAGTTTGTTTATTTGTACTGGAAAACGACAACTAAGAAAATCATTTTTGCAGTGTTGAAATAGAAATCTTTTCTAACATTCTGAATGTCTTTACTCTCCCTTTTGATCGATTTAATGAGTCATTACTGAATACATTTCTTGATGAATGTGATAAATCGTTATGTGCTGTACTTTCTAACCCACACTGCTCTTACCATATCAGCCAAGGCGATGTAAAGGAACATGCCACCAGCAAAGGCAAAGATGATGCTGGGGGCAAAAGTGCTTCCCAACAAGATGCCCAGGACCAGTCCCACGTAGCAGGACATAGCAGACAGCAGGTTGAAGAAGACGGCCTGTGGAATACTCAACCCTGCGTTTAGCAGGATAATAAAGTCGCCTACAGGGGGAGACAGAACACAAATGTGCTTCACATGTGTTTTTTTTTTTCATGAAGGTCAACATTCAAAGGGCAGCAACCAGTCACAGAGGTGGTTTGGTGCAGCTGACAACATTTCCGGTTGAGTAAATGAGTCCGTATTTTTCTTACCCAGCTCATGAGGGAATTCCTCACAGACGATAGCGATAGAAGTGCTAAAGCCGCTGAGAACAGACACGGTGAACGAAGCGCCGATGGCCAGTCCGTCAATGAAGTTGTGGAGAGCATCGCTGAGGGAAATCATCCATGCCACCGTCTTCACGCTGGCCAGCCGTCTTCCTCTGAGCCATCTGCAGGACCCCTGCAACGACGTTCACATCTATATTAAAACCTCATTTCGTACTATAACAACATCTCTTGAGCTTCAACCCTGGGTTCATATTTCAAACACTATTTACTTTTAGCCCCGAGGTTTAACTTTTTGTATTGTTGCAGGGGCGAAATGACGATCCCAATTGCATGGTGCTCGTGATGTAGGTCAAAGGGCAGAAGACGATCTTGTTTCTGCTGGCAGCTGTGACAGATGAAAGTAAACACAGCTGTGTGTGTCTCTACGGCTGGACTGTAAGTTGCACTGACCTTTATTTGATCTTGCTGAAGGAGAACTGTTATGACCCAAGATTCTGTAACAGCCTGGTCGTCTTGACAAATAATGATTATTTATCTCCGTTTGATAATGACAGACACTTTCAAGTAATCTTAAATTGCTTACTGCTGTGATAATCAAACAGTCTTTATAGATATCATAAAAATTAGAGGTGTTTGCTAATCCAAGCATTACTGATATAATGAATGAATGATGCATTTATATAGCGCTTTATTGTGTATTGCTGTACACCCAAAGCGCTTAACAATCATATGGGGGGGTCTCTCCTCAACCACCACCAGTGTGCAGCATCCACTTGGATGATATAATTGCTTATATGGGGATTTGAATAAATCTATACGATAACAATCAAATTATTAGTTTTAAAATTTGGTGCATAACTTTTCCTGCACAGTTCGTGCTGCAGACATTAAGGCTGCACAAAAGTAAGCACAAAATCCTGCAAACTTACATTTGAGGAGGTTCCTGCGCCCTTTATAGAGAGCAGACTATCATAGAGACTTGAGGAGGTGGGCTCTTTAAGAGCGTGCAGAACACCTTAGCAAACGCAACGCAATTCCTTGGCATCCTGTTTTTTTGCATGGACAAGCACCACAGAAAATGTAAAAGTCTAGTTTTACTACAACTAATTCACCATGTAGTTCACAAGTAGTTTTAGCTTCATTTCAAGTGGGAATGGCTGGCTTATTTATATCATATATTTATTTTTATATTTATACTACCCTTCAAAAGTTTGGGGTTGGTCAAATGTTTCTGATTGGTAAGATGTTTTAGAAAGAAGTCTCTCATGTTTACCAAGGCTACATTTATTGATCAAAAATATTAAAACGGTAATATTGTGAAATATTATTGCAATTTAAAATAATATTTTATATTTGAATATATTTTAAAATGAAATGTATTCCTGTGATGCAAAGCTGAACTTCCAGCTGTCATTACTCCAGCCTTCAGAAACTGATTTGCTGCTCAAAAAAAGTAAACAATGACACATTTTTTTTAGGTTTGATGAAAAGAAAGTTAGCATTTTTTAAATGGAAATATTTAGTAACATTATAAACGTCTTTATTGTCACTTTTGATTTAACATGCCCTTGCTGAATATAAGTTTTAATTTATTTAAAAAATAATAATAATAAATCCTACTGACCCCAAACTTATGAACAGTAGTGTATTTATTTTATATTATACTTTACTTTTAATATTATACTTGGATCAGTAAGCAATTATCATGGGCAAGCACCACTCACACTGAAAATGTAAAAAATGTAGTTTTACTATAGTACATTTACCATTTCATGTGGGAACAAATCATTATTTTCCCAAACTGTTAGCTATTTTTATACTGCTTATGTAACTTATGGCTGTATTTAGGCCATTAGCATATCTCTTGGCATTATGTGTAATTTTTGTGAGATCTGACCAGTTGTACCTGCTCTACTGGAGGGTCAGAGGTTATGCTTGCTTTGTCACTACTGGCAAAGTTTAAGTCAGAATCCACCGTATTGATGGCGCCGTTCTGTTGGATGCCCTCCGTGGGCTGGAAGTGACTGTGTCCGTGGCCCTGCGAAATTCAGGGTTCGAAAATGAATCATATGATTACTGCATATGGTTTAAAAGAACGTACATGCTAATATACAACATATCTGACATTTACCATTAAGGAAGCTTGGCTATTTGCTTGCAGTTAATTGGAATTATAAGTATGAGATAATATAGAGTCAATAGTTTATCATCACAAAATAAACGTTTTATCACGCTGAAGGAATTGGTTTAGCGATAATGACCAGCTGACTGTGCACTATCCTGCTTATTATGCAACTACTGTATCAAATATCAAATATGTTATATTGGTTTGAGTGTAAATATTTTATTGCATATGAAAAAATAATGCAAAGTGAAATATCACTTTTTTGAGAATTTTTGACTGCAGAATGCTGTGACTGACCAGGATCAGAGTCAAGTATTCCAGAGAGCCATGCAATTATGTCTTTGACTACTGTTGATTAGTTTTAAATTATATAAAGTTTAAAAAATTCATGAAGAGATCACATGAATCCAACATTCGAACGTTCAGTCTTCATAATTCTGAGATGAACCCACCTCATGTTCTGGTTTCAGGACTATCCTCAGGATTTTTTCAGTGACGTACAGCGCATAGAATCCTCCAAAGATCCCAACAGCTTGGAGAACGTAACCGTCTGCTTTTGGGTCAAACCCAAAGGCCTGTTCAATTAGAGGAAGTAATCATGTGTCTTTGAGCAAGTTAAAACCAGATAGCCAGAGTTCCCTGTGTACACATGCACATTATTAAAGTTAAACTGCAAACCCAAAATAAATATTACAACATGTAACCATTGCCAAACGAACGTCACGTCATGCAACCATCATGTCATCACATATCAAGAAACATTTGCAGCATTTGCACTCTTCTAGAAAATAAAAACGAATGAATGAGTCCAGTTCAAAGAGCATTTGCATTTTATTATTATGCAATCATTTTAAGCATAAATAATCTGCATCAGCATCATGGTGCTGATAAGAAGGCAATTAAAGATGTATAATTGGAGGTTGATTTCTATGAAGCAAGAATGATCCAGTGCAGGTTACTGGCTTCATAATCCTGTTGTGCCACCAATGTGACCTTGCCAACAAGCTCTTAGAAGACTGTCCTAAACTGACCTAAATGACTTGAAGAAAGCTTCCAGGGGACGAATGCAAACTCTGAACTATGTGAATGCGATAAACTGAGAAATGGAAAAGCATTTCACCTCAGGTATAAGTTGGAGAGCAGCATTGGAGAAGAGCGTGCCAACAGCTAGACCAATGAAGTAGGTGAGCACTTTGGGGAAGTAGGGCTTTTTAGTTACGGGAATGAGAGTCAGACCCAGCAGTGAGGCCAGATTAATGATGGTAACTGCCAAGAAACCAAATCCCCATACTGTGCAGAAAGAGAGGGGAGAGCTCACACAGCTAATATTATAATTCATAAGGGTAAATCACATTTCACCACAAAAAGAAAAAAAAGAAAATTGTTTTGCATAAAAAAAGAGTTTTACTTTATGGTGTTATTTTTAAGACGGCTAATCATAATTGTCTGCAATCGCCCTTATTCTCAACAGTTATTTTCATTACTTTATTACAGTGCTTTATTACTCTATTATACTGATACACAGCTTTGTTTTAAAAAAAAATAAGCAAAAAAAGCAATATAAAAATAATATATGTACAAAAATACTAATGTAATACGTAGTGTCTTTTCAGGTTAGGTTTAAATAAAGAAAATTGTGTTTTGCATAGATTTTTGCTTCGTGATATTTTCACTACTGTAAAACAGTATATTTTTACTCTATTATAGTAAAATATTGTTTTGTTTTGCATTAAAATAAGTGTTATTTTAGTATTATTGAGATATTATAGTTTTTTAAAATAGTTTGAATAGCTTTTTGTTTTTATATTTTTCACTTTCATTTTGATTTTATTTAATGTTTTAGTAATTTTTTTTGTGTTTTTGACATTTGTATTAGTTTTTTTTTATATATATATATAAATATGTCCATATAGTTTTAAATAGTTTTTATTTTACTTTTAATTAAATGAGTACATTGTTAAACTAAATGAAAATGATACATTTTGCCTTGGCAACTAGCTAAAAAAACAAGTTGGAGTTTTTATACACTTTATTTCAGTTCATGTTTATTTCAAGTAACTAATTTTTTAATTACGTGACTAATGATTTTAGTTAACTATAATAAATCTGATTGAGAGTTATTGAAACAAAGAAACAATCGTCTATAATTTATTATATATTATATAATTATATGTTTTAACAAGTTTACAGTTTTTATTTATTTAAAATAAAAAAATAGCACTTTAAAAATAGCACTAATACAAAAGTTGTGTTTTGCATAAAAGAAGGCTTTAGCTTTGTTAAATTATTTTTAAGCCAATTAGACACAATTGTCTGCAATTGCCATTATTCTCAACTGTTTAAGTTTAAGTTTAAGTTTAAGTTTCTCTTTTATTGTCTCCCTTAGGAGAAATTTGTCTTAGGCAACCGGGAGAGCAGATCAAACATACAAAAAAAATAAATAAATATTACACCATTCCAAAACATATAATTCCTATACAATCCTAGTAATACACCAACATTACATGTTACCCATCACATTACCCTCACCCACACAACAATTTCAATCACTTATTCAATAATTTGACAGATAATGGAATTAGAGAAAATTTGTATCTTTTCAGCTTACAGATTGGAACCCTATATCTCCTGCCCGAGGGCATTAGCTCATACTCATACAAAACTGTGATTTTCATTACTGTAATACAGTATATTCTTATTATAGTATATTATAGTTGTTTTTAAATTAGAATAAAATCAATATTGCACTAATACAGTTAAATAATATATAATTATTTTTCAACTTCTGAGAAGCATTAATAGAAATATTTTGCATGAAGAAAGATTTTTTGTTTTGTGGCATTGTTTTAAAGACAACAAAACACAACTGTATGTAATTGTCATAATTCTCAAAAGTGATTTTCATTATTATAGTAAAACATGCACAGTGTTATTTTTTATTAAATGAGCATAAAAGCAGTACACAAATAACACTAAAACAAAAAATACTAATTTAAATAATATATTATTATTATTAATATCTTGTCTACGGAGCTTGTTTTGCACTAACTTGATGGGAAGTTGTGTTTTACTTAAAGAAAGATTACAGCTTTGTAACAAACACAATTGTCTGTAATTGCTATTATTCTCAGCTGTGATTTTCATTACTGTAATACAGTATATGTTTACTATTATGTAAATACTTACTTTTATACAGTGTTGTTTTAATATTTACTGAAGTAAGCATAAAATAATTTCAAAAATAGTACTAATACAAAAAAATACAAATTTAAATCATACATAGGCCTAAATATTTTTTGCCTCTTCTGAGATTTTCATTTTTAACTTTATATGTAACTTATTTCAGGTGGCAAACTTCCCATCATTCTCTGCCATGATTCACACTAGAGGATATGAAACTGAAATGTAGGCTATGCTAGATTACATCAGGAGAAAGGTCTTTGACTACTGTATAGATTAGGAATTCAGTTCAGCAGATGAAGACTCACCACGCAGATCAGTGTCACTGTGTACTGGAGGTTCAGTTGAACAGGGTGGCAGTACAGCTTGGTTGAGCAGAGCCGGGCAGACAGTGACCAGATGTTCCTCTGTCAGATGAGAGAGGTTCTGAAGCCCATAGTGCACCAGAATATCTTCTCCGGACACACACTGATAAACAGGGACAATGTCAAGTCAATGAAATAAAGCGAAGAATGACAAAACTAGTCCAATCATACAGTATGAATGTTTTAGTGTATGTTCTCAAATGTGTGGCACATAGTCAAATGCCTATATAAAATGTCAAATATTTTTTTGTAAATAACTTCCAGTAACTAAAGTGACCAGATTACCTGAGCATGCAGAGGAATGTTCGGATCCAATTTGTCTTGCACAATTGTCTCCAATAAACTGTTAATGCCACTGAGATCCAGTGAACCGTTTTCTCCGTAAACGGCTACAATATCCTTCACGAAAACCTGCTGCAGAGAGCTGGCTCTTAATCCTGAGATTACAGTTATTAGAAAGCCTATGAACACATGAGTGAAAGATTTGGGAATGCCTGCCATGCTTACAGACCACACGTTTCCGTCTGAAGCGATCCGAATGAAGCAAAAGCAGCGAGAGTTTTAAACGGGAGCAGGGCTGACTCTAACACAACAACACATCAGCAAGCAAAGATGCATTTTAAGAATAAAGATAAGAACAATTAAAAGAGTTAATTATTTCTTCACTATTAGTATCCTCGGTGACCTGACCGATATGTCGCGCCTCCATTTGGCACCCGGCCAACCATGATAAATTCCGCTTGTTTCACCCACAAACAAACCAGTGCTCAAACCAGCGGCCCCTGCGGTCAAAACATCCTGACTGTAATCCAGCAGAAGTGGCTTCATCAAAACCATCCAGTTATTCTGATATGAGATCGAGTACAAATGAATTACACTAAAGAAACTTTTGCAAGACACTATAGCTACAGGCAAAAATACCGTTAGTTGTGAACAGCAAGTGAATAAAAACGCCGTGCAAACATTGCATAATTTATTGGTTGTAGGCAGGACATAGGCGGAGCCTGTATGTAAGTAACTTACATGTTATTCTGTGTGCATATATTTGATTCATTTTCAATTTCGCTGACAAAAATTGGATATGTTCAGATATTTATGAATTCACCTACAGACACTGGGAGCAAGTATATTTCAATTAATTACCTACTTGAATCTTGAAAAAAAAAATGTAAACTGTGTTTTATTAATAAATTATACATTATAGCCTAAGTTACATCCGTTAACACTGTTTACTTTTTAGACATTTTTTTTCTTTAAAATCATCGTAGAGGACAGAAAAGTTCCCCTAATTCAAGTAGCATTGTTTCAAATGTTTAAGTGTGTTATTAACAGAGATGGAAACTCGAGTCTGCGACTTGGGACTCCAGTCGCACTTAAGTCGCATCATAAATAGGCTACTTGTGACTTGACTTGGACTTGGACCTCAGAGATTTGTGAACATGTCTTTCTTACTTTCAAGAAGATGTTAAAATCTATATTAAATCTTTATCTACCTCCTGTAACAAAAAGGCAACTTAAACTTTGAATGTATGATCACTTTTTGGTGTTTTTGTGTAATTTTTATTTGATAATTTATGTTTTGAGGGAAGAGTATGTTTATTGTTATGTGATCTGCTTATTTATTTTATTTTTTATCATTTATATATTTATTTATTAGCCTACGTTATTTAGGTTTTTTTGCTTAGAAAATACAACTTCCACTCTATCTCATTTGAATTTTAATTGCTATGTATTGTTTGGCCATCCTTGAACTTCTGGCTCTTTTTCTTGACATATTTTTTCTTACATTTGTATTTTATGTGATTAATTAAAAAAAAGACTTGTGAACATGTCTGGTTATTATCAGAATCAGAATCAGAATGAGCTTTATTGCCAGGTATGTTTACACATACGAGGAATTTGTTTTCGTGACAGAAGCTTCCACAGTGTAACAGAATGACAGTGACAGAACAAAAAACACAGATAACAAAAAATAGAACAAGTAAATAAGGAATAAAAATATATAAATTGACAATTACTAGCCTTTCTCTCTCCCCTCCAGCTAGAGTTGATATTCTTCCCTGCTATGACTAATTGGCTGAGAGAACAGCCTGCTACAAAGAACTCAAAGCCCCTAAATGACCCCGTGGGACCCTGGATGGATGGACAGACAGAAGAGAGGAGTGTAAGGTCCTGCAGGCTCGTGCCAGGCTCTGCTCTGAGAGTGAATAAAGAGTGTGTGTGTGTTTGTCTGGCGGCTGCACAGGACCCACAGCTGTTTTCAAGCGTCTGCTAAAGGGTGAGCAGCTATTGTTCATTTAGATTCAGTAAGAGTCAGCAGGAGAACAGGCCTGTGACCACAATACTGATCACAACGCAGACAAACATGACTTTGCTCAAACAGTAGACAACATGTTGCAGTGAACCATGGTTTGTCGTTGTTGTAAGTTAGGTGAGTCCTGGTAGGAATGCACATGTCTTCACAGAAACTGATATAAGATGTTACAGTCTCTGTGAGCTCGTCCAGATCGGTGGCAGCAGCTTCAAAGCCACTCCAATCAGTGAGGTCAAAACAAGCTTTTAAATCCTGCTCTGCTTCATTAGTCCATCTTTTTACAGTCCTTAATACAGGTTTCGCTGATTTCAGTTTCTGCCTGTAGGTCGGTATTAGATGAACTAAACAGTGGTCAGAGAGCCCCAAAGCTGCCTGTGGAACAGAGTGATATGCATTCTTTATTGTGGTGTAACAGTGATCCAATATATTACTGTCTCTGGTGGGACATGTGATGTGCTGTCTGTATTTTGGCAGTTCACGGGAGAGATTTGCTTTATTAAAGATCCCGAGAATGATTAAAACAGAGTCCAGGTGTTGTTGTTCCGTCTCTATGATCAGATCTGCGAGTTTCTGTAAAGCGGAGCTCACGTGCGCTTGCGGAGGAATGTACACACTTACGAGAATGAACGAGCAAAACTCCCGCGGCGAGTAGAAAGGCTTACAGTTAATGAAGAGCACTTCTAGATCTGGACAGCACATCTTCTTTAACACAGTTACATCTGTACACCACCTCTCATTGATGTAAAAGCATGTCCCGCCGCCGCGCGATTTCCCCGTTGATTCTGCGTCCCGATCCGCTCTGAACAGCTGAAAGCCAGGCAGACTCAACGCGCTGTCCGGAATGGCGTCTTTCAGCCAGGTTTCCGTGAAACACAGAGCACCAGAGTTTGAAAAATCCTTATTTGTCCGGGAGAGCAGAAGAAGTTCGTCTGTTTTGTTGGGTAGAGAGCGGAGATTTGCCAGATGGATGCTTGGCAACGGCGTCCTGAATCCGCGCTGTCTGAGCTTCAGGAGCGCGCCGGCTCTCTTCCCCCGTCTGCGCGTCCTGAAGCATTTGATCAGCGCCGCAGCTCCCCCGACTACAATGTCCAGCAAAACATCACAATAGTCGAAAACCGGTGAAATATCGGGTGGTGTGTACTGCCGAATGTCCAGCAATTCGTCTCTGGTGAAACTGATTGCAGGGATATAACTAAAGACAGGACAAACTAATAAAAACAACTGCGGAGCACACCATGGAGGCAGCCATCAGCGTCGGCGCCATCTTGGTTATTAAACCAAGTTAACTGCTCTGCAGTGATGCTAAAGATAAAATTGGCTAAATTTTTTAATATGCAAAATGATGAAGTAAATATATTCCTAAAATAAATGGTTTTATAACTATAAATAGGCCTATATAAGGATTTTCTTAACTTAAAAGGATAGGGTGGGAAACTTCAGCTGGGGCAATAAGTTTTAAAAGTCTAGAAATCTTTAAATTCCTTTGGATGTCCAATAGTTAGTTCTACTGGAAATTGAGCTTTTAAATATTTAGTTTATATTGGAGTCCTATAAATATAATAGGATCTATAGTATTGGTTTAAAATTACACTTGTAAATCTGAAAGGAATCCTGGGGAGCTGCTACTGTAGAGCGCGACTTTTAAATTATTCTGTACAGCACCGCCATCTACTGGTGCAACTGAATAACGCACCGCCGATCATGAGCGTAGAAGAAGAGTTACTTCCGGCAGTGAGTGAAAGCTGGGATGGCGCTGCACCGTCAAATGGAATTCGCCCTCTGTCATGTGTACTGATCCGGTTTCTTCAAAGACACCCACATCTACGTCCTTTTAGCTTGAGGTATATACTTATTTCTTTACGTTCATTTATACGCAGTTTGTTTTAAAGTCTTTTGTGGGCTTGGAAAAGCAAGCAGTTTGTCAAACCATAACGTTATATGCAACTCTACTGCAGCTTCCTCACTGACAGCTGATTAGATTTACAACAGACGGTCAGTCTGGGATGTTCACACACTATTCTTCTTTTAGGGACAATATGACAAATCAGATAATCATTTTAAGGTCATAATAACAACAAGAAGAACTCATTGAAGTGTCACTGTCCGGTTAGGGCTTGCTCAATAACTAGTCAGTACTATCATTCATGAATGAGAGGTAATGTTCTCATTCAAAAACTAAGGAAATGAAAGCGCCCTGTAAAGTTTGATAACCATTGATATGTCAATTGCACTGTCTAGCAGGAGTTCTGTTAGTTTGTTGTGTGTTGTGCTCCTAAACCCACTCAGCTGCTCAGTTCTTATATATTGGAATGTGTAAAGCCATAAGGCTGACTGACTGATGGATTATGACTTGTCAAGTTCTGATTAAGTGTATTTTGTTTTTTGCAGAAGAATGTTTTTTGTCAATGGGTGTGAGTCGACTTGATGTTCTGTATAGAAGGCTTCTCCTCACCAAACTCTTCATTCAAGGATGGGGAAAGCCAGAGGACCTGAAAAGGTAAATTACTAACGAACGAACTAACTAAATAAATAAAAAATTAAACAATGAATCTTTAATGACTTCACTTACGGTATGATTAAATAATGATCCTTAAATAATAATTAGTGGTGGCATGAGTGTTATGAATTATGTTCATATTTCATTTAAAGGTGGACTTTAAAGATTATTGTACCAAAAGAATCTTCCAAAGAAGACAGATATGGATGTATGACCAAACCCAATGAATATATACAAAATAAAACCAAAAATGCAAATGATATGTAAAAATAAAACTTAAAAATTATTTTAAAAAATGTGTAGTTTTGAGTACAGACAGTGGCATACTACACAATTGGCCACATAATACTAAATAATCCATAGTTTGGCCTTAAAAAAACATTTATAAAAAAAGAAAATATCTATAGTAATTTATGTAAAAACAATATGCATAAAAAGTTTTATCTTAGTAGTGACAAGTGTGCCATTATCAAGCAGATTGACATGAACAAAAAAACAAAACAATGAGTGATCCCAATTATTTAATTATTATATAATTATTTTATGGATATTACAGAATATTTGCGTTCCGGAAGATTATTGGCAACAGGGAGAGATACAAGGATCTGGTACAGAGGGACTACCCAGTATTTATTGACAAGGTAGATCTATCTATCTATCTGTATATCTATCTATATATAAAAATGTATTCACACACACACACACACACACACACACACACACACATACATATATATATGTGTGTGTGTGTAAAAAATTTTTAAATCTACATTTGTTTTTTAAAATAAACACCTATTCAGAATAATTGAAAATTGCATTATGACCCATTGACTGTGTGTTACCGCTGTGCCCAAAGGTAGAAGATCACACAGATTGCAAAATTCACAATGGTCATTTCATATCGCCGCTGGAGCACTTTGTCCCGGGCATCTTGCCAGCTGAGTCCGTCAAAGCCCGGTAACCAAAACAAATCACCCACAAACACTGAATGCAAATGTGAAGGATTAATGTGACTTATTGTGTGGCTTGTACTGAAAGTTCTTTCAAATGAAGACATTTTGTTTCAACTTTCCCACTAGTTTCCAGTTTATTGTACCTAAGAAATGGAAAAGGCACAGACCAGTCTGTATTCACCTGGCTGGAACAGGAGACCATGTGAGTGTGCAAAAACTGGGAGTGTTTGAGCAATATACACTTTTACTGTACAAATGTTTCAAAAAACATCTTACCAATTCGAAACTTTTGAAAAGTAGTGCATCAGTAACCTATAGTTCAGCTGATATTAGAATTTCTTTTTTATTTATTGATATTAGTCAATATTGGTTATTTTATAAATATTTTATAATTTTATAATTGGTTATTTTACTGTACATTATTGTTTCTCCTCTATGCCCCGCCTTTCTGAAACGCGGTCTGAAAAGCGAGGTGTGCTCTGATTGGCCAGCTATCCAGTGCGTTGTGATTGGCCGAATACCTGAAAAATGATCAATTATTGGCCGTAAGTATCATCTAGGATTTTATCTGAATTTGATGCGTGTGTGTGTGTGTGTTGCAGTTTTTCTGGAGAAGACGAACACTAATGGCCAGACCAATGATTAAAGAATCAGGGATGGCATCTCTACTGTTGGAGAATCCTTATTATATCCTTAGAAATGTTAAACTACAGATCACATATTAGTTTGCCATGTAAAGCCTAGTGTCAAGAATTACTAGATCTTATCTGACACCTCCTTGACTCTGCGCCGTACATGGATACAGGAAACCTAAAGACCAGCTGTGAGTGTTTGTTTACCTGCAGCAACTATTGCTGTCCATGTCTTTCGAATGAACATTGCATGTTTACAGTGTATATGATTTGTGTTTTTGATCCAGTCGCTCCAGTCTGAAGAACGTCTCAGACCTGTTTGTGATGGGTGGAGCGCTGATCCTGGAGTCTGCTGCACTGTTACACTGGCTGGAGCGAGAGGGTTTCTGGCCTCTAGGCATGACTGGCATTTCTATGGGCGGACATGTAGGTTCTGCGCACCTCATTAACATTTGACTTAATTCGTTCATGTTGTTTCTAATCAAATTTGTTCTGAAGAACCTGTTCCATATCCTGTGTAACATATACACAATATCTATTGTTGATTTTCATCCTAGATGGCATCATTAGCTGTAACAAACTGGCCCAAACCAATTCCACTCATACCTTGTTTATCCTGGACGACTGCTTCAAGTGTTTTTACCACAGTAAGATTTAAGTTGTATTAGTGTTGCCTACAAGTCAATTCGGATTGGTCATATTTATAGGATGTTACAAAATCATAATTACCAGAGAGAAACTCAAACTTGTTTTTAGCTCAGATTTATCAAGTCAGTCAGTCATTGGTCAAAATGTAGTTTTAAAGGTGAAAATTGACTACGTTTTTAGTGTGAATGTATTTAGTGATCTTTTATTGAACAATAACTATAATTTTTTTCTTGAAAATACTGCTTATTTAGCGAGTTTATGAAATGTAAGACACTTTGGAAGCACAAGAATGTAAGCGATTACACACCTAATGCATAGCTTTTGCCCTTCAATTTATGGCATTATCTCTGAAGAGCTTATACCTTTGAACTTACAGTATATTTGTCAGAAAATGAAAATTGAAAGTGAAAGTATGTAGCAGTGTTATATCATTATCAGTTAAGAATATGTTTTATTAATATTTCCTTTTTAATTTTTACATTTTTAATAAATTTGTTGTGTTTCTGTCTTTTTTAATTCTATATAGTTTGTTAAATTTTATTTCAGCTTTATTTTAGTACATCCGATAAACTAAATGAAAATTAGTAATGCTGCCATGGCAACTAGTTGAAATAAAATAAGTTTTCTTATTTTATTTCAGTTAGCATTAATTTTTTTAAAGGGGTCATATGATGCGATTTCAAGTTTTCCTTTCTCTTTGGAGTGTTACAAGCTGATTTTGCATAGATAAGATCCCTGAAGTTGCAAAGACTAAAGTCTCAAAACCAAAGAGATATTCTTTATCAAAGTTAAGACTCTGCCACGCCCCCCTAAAACGGCAAAATAATGATCTTTAAAAAAGCATCATATGACCCCTTTAAGTAACAAAAATTGTTTTGTTTTTTTTTAGTTTTAGTTAACTGTAATAACCCTGGTATGAAGGAGTTTCCCAGGACTTAAAGGCAGCATTAGTCACTTAGCTACTGAACTTCATAGCTATGAATACCTTTCCGTCTTCATTCCTGTGTCAGTGAATCAACAGCATCAGAACATGGTAATATAGACGTCACCAAGTGTCACTCACTCCCATTTACAGTTGTTCATTGATTGATTCAGTTGACTTAAAATAAAAGTTTTAGATAACTTGGGTAACTAGGTGACTTAGCCCAGTTAATTAAAGGCTTTTTTTATTTTTACTATATGGGTGCCTTGGAGTATTTAATCTTTTCAGTTGAATAATTTTAGGTATTTTAGCTTGATTGACCTAAAATACATGAAATTATTTCCTTTTTTTCTTTTTCGTTTTTTAAAATCTATTAAAAATTGATCTGCTTTTCTGCAGGGTGTTTTAAGTCGAGCTGTGAATTGGAGAGAACTGGAAAAGCAGTATTGCGCACACCCAGTCTATGAGGAAGAAATCATCAATATGCTGGAGTATTGTGGGGTAGGTCGTTTATTCTGTTTTGTTGTAGTTTAGCTTGGTTTTATATGAAAGACACCACAAAAGATCACAGAAGGAGATATGATTTGTTCCTCACATAATGTATCACATGACTCATGTTGAAGGTGCAACACTTTTGATGAATCACTCACTGACACACCCATGATTTTCAGACAGACTCTTTCCGGATGGGCCAGGAATTCGTAAAAAACGTCCCAGGCAGCTTTGACAGTCTCTCTGACCTGGATCTTACCCATGACCTTCTTGACCTCCACTCGCCAGAAAGGGACCACCAGATGGGGCTGCGCTCCTCTTGTTCTCAGCCTGGGACTGGAGGTCACGCTTCAGACTCAGCCCTATTGATGGGCCGAAGAGAGAGAGACGGGCTGGATCAGATGCTGTCCGCTGTGAGCAGCAGCGGGCCTCATTTGGACATGCTGCATGCTAAAAACATCACCTGCGGGGCTGGTCAGCGGCATTCGCTGCAGCGGGAGTCTCTCTGCTTCATGAAGGGTGTTATGGATGAATGCACACACATCGCCAATTTTTCAGGTACAGATCTGTTTGTTTTGTTGACATGGTTTGGATTGGGTTCCTGTGTTTGATCCTCTCTTTCTTGTATACTTTGTCTCCAGTGCCTGTAGATCCCAGTCTGATCATTATAGTCCAGGCAAAGGAAGACGCTTATGTTCCACGCACTGGAGTTCGCAGCTTACAGGAAATCTGGCCTGGCTGTGAGGTTCGCTACCTCAATGGCGGCCACGTCAGTGCCTACCTTTTCAAACAAGGACTGTTTCGGTAAGTCAGACTTTATGTCATCATAAATATACCATAAAAGTAGTCCATGTTTCATGCACTGTACTCCAAGTCTTCTAAAGTTATATGCCCAGCTCAGCAGATTAATTGAAAATGTCCAATTCAAAAGAATGATTCATTTATGAATCTCTGCTTCTCTTATGAATGTGGTTAGTGGGGAAGTCAAGATAATTAGTGAATAACAACAGGCTTCTCACAAGCTTCAGAATATTTGAATACACAAATAATACGCACTAAAATCATTATTCTTTATGGTGTTTTTTTTTCAGTCCAGGGCTGCGTTTCCCAAAAGCATTGTAAGCTTCAGTACATCATAGACCCATTGAAACCAATGGAGCTATGATCAACTTAAGGTTAATGCTTTTGGGAAACGCAGCCCAGATTCATAGCAATTGCATTAAAAAGAAATATTAAACAGCACAACTATTTTCATTGATAATAATAAATTGAAATGTTTTGTAATGGCTGCTGAAAATTCAACTTTGCATCACAGAAATAAATAAAATTTCAAAATGTAGTAAACAGAAAAGAGTTTTTTTTAAATTGTAATATTTTAAAATATTATCGTTTTTACTCTATTTTTGATCAAATAAATGCAGTTTTGGTGAACATTAGAGATTTATTTCCAACACAATTATTAATGCTAATTATTTGGTTAAATTGTAGCACAATGCTTATCAAGTGAATGAACTGTATGGTTCATCAGTTTAAAATATATGCATTAACATTTCAATTTCATCCATTATTGTTGACCTCTAGGCAAGCAATTTATGACGCCTATGACCGGTTTCTTCAGAAGTATTCCAGCCTATAGCCATGGATTTTTTTGATACTCAGTACTGACAAGAAATGTTGGATTTTGAAAGTATGATGTGGAGATGTACAACATGAATATGATGACTGATTCTTACAGACGAATGTGTAATTGGAACTAAACCTGGTGCTACCAGTGGCAGAAGTGTGTTCCTCTGTGTGGTACATCTCAAAACTCAGAGTGACCTGAAACCAACTTACATGTGCCCAACCCATACAAAACCTTGTCTTCCTGACCTCACTGCCTTTAATCATGTATATCATCATGACTGAAACATATTTCACCAAACGAAACAAAGATGTGCCTCCAAACCATAATTCGCTTACACATCAAGGTGTCTTTAAACCTCTTCATGAAGCAGATCTCTGAAAATACAGTATTTTGGATTGTAGGGCAAATGAATTAATTTGATATGCATTCGATATTTTTGTTTTACCAACAGAGAATATGCGAATTTTTAGAGAATTATTTTTGCCTGTTTTTATAAAATAATGCATCAGAAAAATGGCCTTGTCATGGGCACGTTTTAATCTTGCAGATATATCTCGTAAATAAAAAAATATATATATAATAATAGTGTTTAACAAATTGAGGTGAGTTGTTTGAGAACTGATCAAGTCCTATATTTCCAGTACTTAAACAGGTCTTTAGCAATGACTGGTGCTCATATGAGACAGAACTCAGGTGCTGATGGCAAGAAATATGACCACAATTCAAAATATACATTTTCTGTGAACAGCTGCATGTATTTCAATCCCTTAAATCCTAATCACTGCCAAATACTACAGTAACAGCCAACAATCCTAGTGTTTCAATAGACTGAAATGTTTTATGTATTACTACTGTCACCTTGTCTGATCTATCATGTTCAATTTTCACTGTATTCATCATGAGCCATTCATTTGTTTCTCCACTCTAAAAATAAAAAGACAAACCAAAGTATTTTTTTTTTTTTTCTTGAAACAAATAAGTCACAAATACTGAGAGTGAAATATCATAATGACAATATGAGATCAGGTACCAAATGAATATATGGGATATAATATAGGCAACACAGTATTATGTAAAATATAGTTATTTGGGTGTATAACAAGTCATAAGAGGTTATAAAAATATCACAATATTGTATTCTGTATCTTTATAAACAGACAATAGTATTAATAATGTTAATAAATGAAAAAGTGAATACAATGGTGCATCTATTATCATACAATCACCCATAATAAATTATGTATAATGTAAGAAAACAGAAATATAAGATATGGAAGCCAATATTAAGTAAAAAAAATATGGTTATCTGAGAGATTTAAATGTACATGTACTGTTTTAATAAACTTACGTTTTGTATAAGCTACAGATAGGTTTAAAAATGCAACTTAAAAATATTAACAAAAACAAACAATCATTCAAATGTTTTTAAAATATTCTAAAACGCACAACATAGGCGTATAAAAGGGATATTTTATTTTAATGTATCATTTTACCAGCGTTGCCTCCAATCAAATAGCGTATTTGCGTGTATTTATTATATATTAAAGCTGCATGTGTTTACTATGTTGATATTTCTCTTTCAATCCTGCGCTACTGTAGTTTGACCGACTGTACTCTGTCACCTGGAAATCTTGCCCTCATTAAACATGGAGTCCTTGGTTTTTCCCAAGCCTACTGAAGCCGTTTGCCATCAGTACGTGTGACCCCTGAACCTGTTCGAGTGTGTGAGTGTGTGTGTGTGTGTGTGTGTGCGCGAGTGCCAGCCCTCCGCCATATTCACTGTTATCTTGCCTTGAGAAAGAACAGGAGCATTCGCGACTGCCTACAAGAACCGAAACTGTGTTTCTACACCGAACCTGGAGACCAGCCGACGGGCATAATACGGACTAAAGCGATGGCGAGGAAAAAAAGCAAGCAGCAGGGCGTCGGGGCCAAGGATTTAGTGTCGGGACAGCAGCAGTTGAAGCCCGGCGATGCGGGAGCAGCAGCGGCAGCAGGAGGCGGCGCTGGCGGCGGAGGAGATGCAGGAGCGAGCAGGACCAATCAGGTAGCTAATGCTAACGCGTACATCCAACAACACACCTCCTTGAGCCGGTTAGCGCGGTTAGCGACTTGATTGTAAATTATTTTTACGGGCGCTATATCTAGGGCTCTGTTGCACATGCAGTTATTTGTGTTTTCGCGCTTATTTTGTGTTTTGTAGCTCCTGATTAGCGATGTCCGATTCATGAACGACTCGGATCATTTTGTGAATCGGTTCACCAAATCGGTCTAAATGATTCGTTTACGAAGCGGACTGAATCTGTCAGAACAGTTCTCGAATCAAGACAACTGACTGAGAACATTTCCATTGACATTATTGAGAGATAGATAGATAGAGTTAAAAGTATTTTATTTTATGAGCAAAGATGGTTAAAAAAAACGTGTTGGAAATATGTTGACAACAAAACAGTTTGTTTTAATGAAACGTGTTTACTCGAACAACAGCGTTTTAATAAAACATCTTCTGAAATGTGTAAATTAAGTTTGTATTGCTTAATGTAAATTATATTTACATTATAAATGACGTTAGAGAGCTAAATCACGTCTAAAACGAACATAAATGAGACATGAAATTACACTAAACATGCTTATTAAAAACTTAAAAACAAAAAAGCTTGACATCAGTATGTGCAGATTACGCCGCTCTGGGATGCCAGGGACGACGTGATGTCGTATTTACGTCCGGACGTAAAGGACTCTCTGAATCGGTTTTTGAACCGGTTCTTTGAAACGAACTGTTCGAGTGAACCGTTTCGCGGAAATGAGTCGGATTTCCCATCACTACGCTTGGTCTCGCGCTGCACGGGCGGAGCAGCACTAGCTCGCTCGCCACCTATGCAAAGATATAAATAAATAAATATATTGCCTTCAAATCAGTCTAATAGCTTCAAGCAGTGCAGTACCTTTCATCTGAATGTCTTATACGAAACTGATTGTATATGTATAGCTGGTTAAAGAAAGCTAAACGAAAGTATGTGAAGCACAAAGCTAACAGTGTGTTATGTTGCTGTCGTCTACTGCTGTGGCTACTAAATTATTCCTGTAGAGATCAGGCTAATGCGGTGCTACTAACCCAGCCATGGGGTCATACTTTATGTTCTGACATAATTACCATGTGTTTTTGCATTAAATTACTATGGAGGCATATTTACTACGTGCCAAAGAGTTGCGTTATTGCCATACGGTTCAGTTCTGGTAGCCTTTCATGGTTACCAACCTGCTAATATGATTGTTAATACTTCCAATGCACAAAAACATAAATAATATTTGAGCTGATGTATTTAACGTTATGATTGTGCACAGATTGGATCTTGTAGGTTTTTTTTTTTGATGGGTTACAGTAGTCTTGCTGAACCTTTTCAGTTTTCTATAATAATTTTAATGTTGGAACAGCTCTATGTATAAAACCTATATTTGTGTTGTGATTTACTTCTGTTTTGCAATAGAAAAATAATCTACAAATACTGAAGCAGCAAACTTTGCAAAACACAAAATGTATGTCACTGCCAAAACTTTTGGCCATGACTGTAGCTAGCTAAACTAGTCAGTCTGTTTTTTTTTTAACTCATTTCCTCTCATCCCACAGTCCATGCACACCTGCTGCTTGCTGTGCCATCGGGAGTTTAAAGACTGGGGGGCAGGCCAGGTAAACGGGCTCCCCAGTCAAGGGTCCAAACTGGCAGAGGCTGTACCTGCTCTCTCCCAGGCCCTGCTGAGGGAGGTTCCAGGCCGCAAGCTGGCAGACGCCGTGCCTTCGCTCTCCCAGTCGCTGTTGGGTGAGGTGCCGCTGTGGATCTGCCAGAGCTGCAGGAAGAGTGTGGAAGAGGAGGAGAGGAGAACGATTCAGGAGCAAACTGTGCAGGTAATTGAGATTAGCTCTGGGTAATTCATAGAAATTCACATTTTATGGACTAGTGTTTATATTACGCAGTCAAAATGCATTATCTTTAATTAAGAGTTTAGAATATGGTGAATGTTGTGTTGAATTTTGTGAAAAGAAATAAGTTGTACTTCTTAATCTATAAGCTGTAGCATTTGGATTTAATACAAAAATATGAAACAGAGTGGTAAACGAATCATGCTAAAACTTTTCTTAAAACTGACTTAGCTTTTCTAAACCATTCTTGGTCATTTGTGACTTTTAACCAACCAATATCGCAGTTCGTACTGGTGTTCAAAAACCATACATTGTAAAAATGTTTTTCGAAGTTGTATATAAAACAAAAATATTGGAGTGCGTATTACAAGAAAATACATTTCAGTTTTTCTTAAAAATATCACATTTAATTCAGTGTGTTGCTTCACATTTTTTTGTTATTGTGAAATTGACTAAATTTACTACTTGTAATTGTGAAAATTGTTTCTACACCATTTTTTAAGGGTTAAAAAAATCTTAAGATATGCAATTGTTTGCATTTGCAATTTGCACATGCAATTGTTTCCAAATACATCATTTTATACCTAGCATTCTTTTTTGTAAATCATTTTCTTATGCTGTCTTCCTTGAAATTAAATAGATTTTAATAAAATTACATGTGTAAAAAAAAATTATAAATATAAAATAAAAATTATTGAAAATACAAAAAAATATATATGTATTTTAGTTAATTAAGCATTTTAATATTATCTAATGCAATGACGTTCATATATTAAGTGCGTTCAAGTCATTTTTAGTTGTAAGTTGTATGTTGATACTGTATCAAGTGATCCATTTTTGGGGCTTATTTTTATTGGAAGATTGCACTAGCTGACTGAACAATGTTCATTCAGGTTTGCTGATGTTAAGTTTGCTTCCATTCTTTTATTGGATGAAGAACACCGTGCCACAATTGTGACCAAAACTGTCCTCTTCTTTAGAACAGAAAGCTTAGTATGTGATTGAAGTCAATCCTGTGTACACAACACACAAAAAAGACCAAAAAAAAAATCTGATAGCACAATTTTCCATGCACCCTGTAGATCCCTAACTGTTTCTGTAGACATGCATTTTGAGGTGTTTTCTGTCATTTGTCTAAAAGATGAATGTGTTGTTATCCAGGTGCCACTGTCCCACTCGTCCTTGTGTAAGTCTCAGAGCTGTGGGAACGGTTATCCAGAGCATAGCTCAGTGGATTGGGACCCCAGCTCCTTCCTCTCCGCGCGCAAACTGTCTGGCCTGTGGAATTCAGCTCATTCTAACGAAGGGTCTCAATGCAACCACAGCACACCTACGCTTTCACAGAGTACGTCTCTCTTATTTCATTAGACCTACACGGTGCTCTGGAACACTTGATTCTGGTTGTTCAGTTGCAGCATGATATGCAGCCTGATATTTTTGTATGATGACCACTGAATTGACCGTCTCAGGCATTCGATTTCCTACATAAGTGCTAGTTTCAGCTTTCACATCACTCCATAATTTCTTCTTTCTTCTCGGATTATGAACTCGAATCAATATGTCATGCTCATTTATTTATTTATTTGGTTTTTAGCTGTGTAATAAGTGGGATAATGTACAGTATTGTGGCAAAATAAAACCCTGCAGGGTTGATATACAGGTGCATCTCAATAAATTAGAATGTCGTGGAAAAGTTCATTTATTTCAGTAATTCAACTCAAATTGTGAAACTCGTGTATTAAATAAATTCAATGCACACAGACTGAAGTAGTTTAAGTGATCAAACTTTTCTTGTATTCTGCCGAGTGGTTTTCTTTAACAGATGTACAAATACTAGTACAATTACTGTTATTTCTTGTCCTGATAGGCGGAACGTTGGGACCAG